CCAGGGGGAGGGCCTTCTCGGTGGGAGCCCCCACCCTCTGGAACGAACTACCCCCAGAGATCCGGGTGATCCCGGATCTCCCCTCCTTCCGCCGCGCCCTAAAGACATGGCTCTTCCAACAAGCGGGATTGGCCTAGGGAATTTTTAGTGGGGTTTTTAAGAGAAATTTTAATTATATAGGCCATATTAAATATTTCTTTTTAATTTGGTTTTAAATTAGGTATTTATTGTAGTATTTGTTTTATAAGGCTGTCAGCTGCCCTGAGTCCGGTAAGGAGAAGAGCGGGATAAAAATTGAAATAATAAATAAATAATAAATACATATTTCCGTGGGGGAAGTTCTGTCGTTCTCTCAACAAGGTGTCAATTTTCCTTTCTTTTTTTTAAATTTTATTCAAATACAAATAATACAAACATAATGCATATAAGTCTAAATAAAAAAACAGTATGAAAATACAAATATTACAGTGCACCCAAACCTCCCGGAGACCATTTTTATTACCTATATTTCTTCTCATATAAGAACTAACAATATACAATATATTTCAATTTTCCCCTTATCCCCTCCAAAACAGCATATATACTTGAGTAGGTTTATTCCCTTTGTCTTCCACCAAGACTGTTTTTATAAAATCCTCCCATATTTCATTATAATTATTTACTTTAATCATCCCTTTTTTAAATTTAATTTCTGTTATTAATTTATCATTTATTGCCATATTCCATATTTCATTATACCACCCATTTCTTTGAATAACCCAATTCCGTCTCCAATATTTAACCATCCCTAATCTAGCTGTCATTATCAAATTTACAATCAGTTCCTTGTTTTGCTTCATTTATATCTTGTTTTTCCACCGGTAACAGTAATGCAATCCTCGGTGACATATCTAAATTTACCTTCAAAAGTTCTCTAATTTCCCTAAACACTACGTCCCATATCTTTTGTACGCTATCGCAGTCCCACCACATATGTTTATATGTTCCACAAGACGTCAAATTTCGAAGCACGGTTTTGCTGGTGTGACAATTACTGCTTCTCAGTAATTGAAGCCGGACCATGAGAATCAAGGACGGTGCAACAGGTGTCTGGCCAGACCCAGAGACACTTTCTCATAACAATATTTTTCCACCTAATTGGGCAACGTGACCCGATCGGGAGGGAGAATTCTAGGCTTTTACTACACGGGTTTGGGAGGGATCTTTCACACGTGCCGAAGTGATGTACTCAATAAAGTTTTACATTAAGAGATTGGGTGTTTGCTTGGTTGGGTTTGTTAATCGGAACCTTGACACAAGGTCTATGCAAAGTTGACTTCGGGTCAAGCTCTGCTGACGTTAGTGGGATGAAGTTGTATTTTCGGCCCTGGGTGGAAGTGTTGGATTGGTGTGGCCTTCAGTTAGGAGGTCTTCAGACTTCCAATCTGGTCGGGGGGGGGTTTTCCTAAAAGTCTCCCACTCATACATGAACAGGGTGGATCTTAATTGGCTTTTTTCCAGCTCAGCCAAAGTTGGAAGGCTGTCTACAAATAGCCCTCCAATTTACGGCCACGGGTAAGAACTGTAAAAATTCATTGTTAAGTGGTGTGGGGCTTACATGACACATCATGTGACCCTGCTGGATTTTATGACCTTTTTTTTTTGCCCTGGTCGTTAAAACGAAGCCCCATGGTTGTTTATTTATTTATTTATTTTTTTATTTTTTTATTTAATTTATATGCCGCCCTTCTCCCGACAGGGACTCAGGGCGGCGCACAACATATTTAAAACCAGAACATATATACAATCCCCCCCTTAAAACCGAATTAAACCGAATTTTAATGTTGCGTCTTCCGAATATTTAAAACCCAATGTAAAATCCACCCTAGGTCAGGTCCGCTTGCTGGAAGAGCCATGTC